GAGAACTGGCGACTTTGTAGTACAACTTTAGTACGCGGAGTATCTGGAGAGCTGGAAAATGAGAACTGGCGACTTTGTCGTACAACTTTAGTACGCGGAGTATCTGGCGAACTGGAAGATGAGAACTGGCGACTTTGTAGTACAACTTTAGTACGCGGAGTATCTGGGGAGCTGGAAGCTGAGAACTGGTGACTTTGCAGTGCAACTTTAGTACGCGGATGAGTCATCTCTCGCGGCTGAGTCATCTCTCGCAGCTGCTCTGGCGCCCCTGCAGCTGAGTCATGTCTCCCGACCACCCGGCTCTCTTAAAAGGTTGACACACACACTGAGACCCACGCACTGCCTCAACTTACTCGGAGTCACAGACAGAGACTCATACACACACAGACATTGATACACACACACACAGAGACCCACACACTGCCTCAACTCACTCGACTTAACACTTCACACTGAACACTTAACTCACACTCTGACTTCCTACGTGATGAAAAATGCTTTCGGGCCACTCGTCGTCTAGTTTTAAGCTCTTAAGTCTTAAGATGCGAGCATAACACTGGCCAATCAAACACATGTGAGAGAGCTGCTTCACGTAGTGCCACAGATGTATGCGGACCTTCCGTTTGACACTGAGTTTGAGTTGACTGAACTCTCCACCAAGAGCACATGGCTTCCAGAAAATGGAATACGGAAGACGGATGAAGACAGAGACCGTGCCAGATACTTTTGGCCGCCTGAGTAGCCGCTCATTTCTGTTGGCCTAGAAGCTGTTGGCTTGGGAAGCCTAGAAGTTCTCAGGCCCTTTGGTTGCACACCTCAAGCAGAAGGCGTGGAGCTTCAACCTTTTTCGAGGAAGACGTCCGTTTTCTTGGGCATCTCGTTGATCACGGATGACCAGGCATGCAGTGCCCAGGCGCTGACATCCGAAAGAAGCACTTTCGGAGCACAGTGTTTGAACGCCGCTGATGCATCTGATCTCTGACTTTGCGCTTTGCAGGTGCGCTTCCTTGCATCGACAGATGTGGAGTCGGCCTGACTATGTTTCGATTGCAGTCAGAACAGCAAACATGAAATTAAGAAGCTGAAACAGGTCGAGATCAGCGCACTTTTCTTTGCAAAGACTGGGGCGGGAAGAGCTGTTTGCGGCTCAGTGTGCAACTAAAGAAATAGTCCGAGTTCATCCGAGTTCAAAGCTGGCAGGTTTCAGTTTCAGAACAGGGGTAACCCAAGCACAGTATTATCTTTGGAAGAGCAAGAATAGCTGAATGCCCAGACTAGCTTTGATCTTCGTGGAACCATGTGGAACCTATGTCTTTGCGGGCCAACAGCCACAAGTAGGTGGCAATCCGCTCATGCTGCTCCTTCCGGTGACGCCTGAGGCTTTTCCTGCTGAAAGAGGTCTCATGTGCAGGGGAACGAGATCGGCAGCTTTGGAAGGCCAAGTAGCCGGCACAAGCAAACCGAAGGACACGGAAGAGTTTGAAGCACGTTGATCCAAGTAATGTAGACTCTTGATTCATGACCCCCCCAATTGAATTGGAACAACCTCTTCATATGGGGGGGTTGTTAATCAGAGGCTGGAGTTGTGCGTGGAGCCGGGCTTTGTGTAGACTACATTAGCATATGGTTTGCTACCGCTCTGCTTCTTTGCCGGAAGGTATACTCCAAGAAAGCGCACCAAATGGTGGCGAGTTGCAGTGTAGAGGACAGCTGCAGATGTGCGCCTGTGCGCCGCGAAAGGCAACGTTGTTATCATGTTTATCGGAGTGCAGGAGCTTTGCGACATCGTTCGAGCACTTTGCAGGGTGCATTATCATAGATGGCACGATGCTGAGAGCAGTTCCAAGTCCGTTTTTTTTCTCAGATTTTTGTTGTGTGCCAGTCTTCAATCTAAGTTGTTTTACATTGATTCGTTTGCTTGCTCTTAGCGTTGAACAACTTCTGAGACCAGTTCCCACTTGCAGGTCTCTGCTGAACGCAGTCAAGCGTCGTATGCGTCGGGCTCCCTTGTTCATCGTATGCAGAAACCGCCTGTGTTGAGCTGCACTGTTTGCCGAGCTGCAAGGAAGCCGAGAGATTCAAAGCCTTTCACCTCGCCGCTTCACTCAACTTTTGTGTTGCTGGCGCCGCTTGTCAGAGCTGTTGGCCGGGCAAACAGTCCAAAAATGAACATGCTGGCCACTTGACCCAATCCTTCAAGGCATATGTCTTCACATTGTTTGGATTTCAAACACATTTGCGGCGACCATTGCTGGGTCTTGCGATGGGTGGCCGCTATGCCAGGAGTGACTTGCGACGCTTGAACTTCGTGGACGGACCGCTGGACCCTAAGTGGGTTCCCAACACAGTTTGAGGGGGGTTGGACCCAACGATATTGAAAGCTGCAAGAACATCACAGATGTACTCCTTTGTTTTTTTGGGCGAATAGTTTCTTTCAGGAGTCTCAAGGGTAGCTTTGCTGAATACTTTGGGCTTTGCCACACGGAGGATGCTTCAAGACGTTTTGAAGCATTGGCAGTTTGAAGAGAAGATACAGGAGGCCCAATGCGCAACCAGCATACACTGCAGCGCGATGAGTTGCATTGCATTGGGGATACATTGCTAGCGTTAAAGCGTTCATGACTAACAACTATCAACTCGTTCTTGGCGGGTACCGCAACTGCAGTTGGATGCCTTCGACCTCTGTTTGCTTCTCATTGCCTTCGCGCGGTGTTCGATGAGGGAAGAGGAGCCGGTTTCGATGTGCTCGGTGCCAATGATGTTCCGCGGCTGTTTTTTCGTCGTTGGAGCATTCTCGAGGAACGTGTGAGCACCATCAGCCAAGCTTTGAGGCAGCTGCGTTTTCTCAAGACTACTGACTCATGCCATTCATGTCATCCTTGTGCTAAAAGTAAAGGTGGAGCGAAAGAAGCAAAGAACAGCCCTCACTTGCGAGCAAGTTGCCAAAGAGCAAGACAAACACTTGAGAAAGCAACAGGGTCCCAAGACCTTAGACTGAGCCTAAGTACAAAGAGCATCAAAGAGCTAGACTCACAAAAAGAAACGACACAAAGCGTGGGCACGGAGCAACTGTCGGCACTGCTCCGAAAGCGCTAGGCAGAAGTCTAGTGATCTCACAGCCTCCACGGCTGCTCGGCAGTCGAATGGTCCGGGTTGGATCGGGTTTGGTCGAATGGGTCAGCTGAGGCAGCTGGAAGCCTCTATGCCATGGCTTTGCTGGATTATCAGGATGACACAGGCGTCGAAATGGCGAAGATGGCATGGGGGTTCTACTCAAAAGCATTTGCCATCAGATGACTCAAAGAGGCACCTGATCTGGCGGGCTGGCAAACCTTGGAAGTTGGACAACCATGAAAAGCCTATGACATCAGCTTTCTACACGAGAAGTCGGACATCTCAAAGTTGTTCTGTGCACGCACTGTGGGATTCAGGTGGATTGACGTTGTCTTTTGATGACTTAAATAACTAAGCTAGGTTTTGCATATATATATATATATAGTACATATACAGATATATACAGTCATAATACAGTCATATTGCAGATGAAAAAAGAAAATGTATATCTATCATTATCTATCTATATTCAGAACGCACTTGACAATGAAATCGGAGATTCGAGATCGGAGATCATCAGCAAAATCCTCTTCTCTTTCTTCTTCCTCCTCCTCCTCATCGTCATTGTCAGCGTCAGCATCATCAGCATCATAATCGGCATCATGCTGCCACGGCCCGCATGGTCACTGCAGGGTCGGATGGTTCTTGGTGTACGGTGGCAAGTTTGAGGAAGGAAAGTGTGAGGTATGTGTGAGTGTGAGTTGTTATTGTGGATGGAAGAGATGCCGCAAGGGTGGTGACAGGACGGGATGCAATTTAGAAAAGTAAGAAGCCCAGGTACTGACTGGTACTGTATGGGGCGCCTTCAAGCGTTGATTTGTATCTCAGAGCCGTCGAACGAAGATGGAACTGCCAAGAAGCGAAGGTGTTCTTTAGTTTCATGCTTAGTAATCTACCGCCTGATCTCCTATACTGTATATTATATGATATAGTTACGCAAACACTCTGTAATGTGAAGAATGACCCATCATGGACATTCGGCGCAAGCGCCTCGCTCGCCAGCCTTCTTCCTGGCAGCCAAAGCATTGCCACGATGTTTGGGCCATGCGTCTCAGCAGGCGATCCGTGGGCCATGTGGATTCGATCCGCGCGATCCGGGCGGCGATCCGGGAACATCTGATGTGGATCATCAGTCTCTGGATTTTGTGTGGAGTTCGAGCAGTTCTGAATACTGCTCTTGTTGCACTCCTGAAAATTCCAGGAGCTGGTGAACATCGCCTTTGCCTTGGTGGCGGGGCATCTTAGGAGTCCAAAGACTTGCAGCAATCTTTGAGACAAATCCCGGAATGAACTATATAGCCAGCTAACCCACATCTCCTTCTCATGTTGCTGGATCAATGCACAACTTTGTGAAGTCCAACAACCACACCCTCCGGTCCAAGCCTCCAGTCGAAGACTGCAGTTCCTTTTTTCATCTTTCTCCTCTGCTTGAAAATAGACCTCATCATACAATTAATCTTCAACTCTATTAAAGATGAATGAGGATCTCTTCAGTTTTTGGAAGATCTTCGTCTTTAGGTCTTGGATTTGCCAGCTGCAGAGCTCTTCTCCTTCGTCCTGGAGCGCTTGGCGCTTCAGGCCGACACCCTAGAGCCCGTGGCCGTCCACGCGCTCCGCATCGTGGCACATGCAGCACCTTGGCGAATGGATCCACCATCCAAACGACGAAAAGACCGAGTGTATTTGAATTTGTTTAGCTTCTTTTTTGGGGATCGTTTTAAGATCATGACAATGGTTTGATATGGTTTGTACATTGTCATGGTCTAATAAAGGCGTTCACGATGTTTCCGCATGTTTCCCTTCTCTTTTTGACGGACCAGTTCTGATTGTGGACTTTCTCTTCCCTCCCAGACGGATTTGCACTTCGAAGAACGGTATGATTGGATGGACTGTTCCAGACCAGGGCAGATTCCCACCTTTATAGGACCGATCCGGGGACCCAACACTGATAGATTTTTCAATGATTTTTCACGAATTTCCATCCGCCAGTGGGTTTGAATGACATTTTGAAGCCAAGCCACTTGGTGGGTTTTGCAATCCGGGGCCAGAGAACGAATTCTGCTTGGGGGGGTTGCTGGGGATTGTCTCACAACATACTTGCACATGGCGGACCCATCATGCTTCGCAGATTGAGTGAATTCTTTTTATTTTGTTTCGTAGGTTCAGGTCAGTCACCCCCAATCACCTCCATGAGAGATTGAGAAAGTGTCGTGGAACCCAATATGAGATGGCTAACCCCACGGGATTCGATCACAAACCCCCCGAACCCGACCTTTTGGCCGGAACAGATCTTTCACAGCACCCAGACGCAACGGGCCTTTCTGCATCCCAGGTGAAGTTCCCAGAGGCATTGAGGCCAGCGATGCGCAACTCATTGGAAGTGCCGAGGCCAAAAGCGAAAGGAACCTGATAGCAAGAGGAACCTCATAGGGATGGCCTCCAACCTACTTTAGCGATGGCCTCCCAAAAGTAACGCTCCCAGCTGAGGAATTTGCTCCCAATCCGAACTTCTCGTCTCTGCCGATTCCGTCCTCGAACGTTGCCGATGAAAACACCAGAGTCACCAGAGACAGTGGTCCTCAAAAAACCAGGTACATTTGGCCGGCCCTTTTAGTTTTGAATGGCTTTCATATATCTGTCTCAGGTGCCAGAGATTAAGGGACGTTCAGTGAAAGCATTACAAGAGGCGCGTGTCCTTTTGGGAGCGGATCTTGGAAGTTTGGATGCTTGGAAAGACGCAGCACATGACCCTGCAAGGTGCTGGGAAAGACGCAGCACATGGCCATTCAGCCTTGACCTCAATGCCTTTCATCAAAATGTCAGATTGCTTATACGGATCCAATGGTGTTTTGGTCCACCGTGGTCTGTTTTGGAAGCAATCTCAGGTGCGCAACCACCAGCTCCAAACTCCAACGTGCCATCGAGCGGTATTTCAAGGAGCTGCAGGTTCAACATCTGCCAGAGCAGGTGGCTTGGCTGGTGTAGCCATGACGTTTGTCGAACAGATGTGGCAATGAATCAGAGAATCAGAGGAAACCATTTTCTAAACGGGAGTACCCATCGGGTAGAACCGTAGAACCTTCTGAACTCACGAGTATTCCCCATGGACTCCTGTTGCATGAGTGCATTCTTTCATTCCTCCGAAGGCGGTTGGGCCTTATGTTCCAGATTTCATTCTGCCCAAGAAGATCGCCGTCGAGGTCGATGGCTTCACGCACTTCTATGCCTTTTCTCAGCGTCTCACGGCCAAGTCAGAGCTGAAGCGACGAATCTTCAACGCCTTGGGATGGGGTGCGCGCCTGAGCCACCCGCTTTCGTCCAGAGCTGAGAGACTGAGAGGCTGAGAGAGTCTGCAAGATCGAAGCAGGTTTTAAGTTCTTTACCTGTAAAATAGTAATGACCTCCAACCGAATAGCGATGGCTTCCAACCTAATAGATCCTAATAGTAATAGCCTCCAACCTAATAGAGAGTTCGTGTAACCGTGATTTTTCCACGATGTGATGCCTTGCGGGGGTGATGGAGTGGACGAATTGATTCCACGCGTGCGAGTGGCCATTTGAAATGACTGTGTGAGGGGTGGTGAGCTTGCCGCACTTCAAATGGTTGCCGATGAATCACCAGGAGCGGCGTTTTGCCACCAGAAAGGAACGACGAGAGAAGAGCGTAGATTAGATCATGTGGAGAACAGCATGCAAATCTGACATTCAAAGTGGTGAATGCAGGAGAAGTTGGTCTACTTGGTAGAGCAGATCGAGATGGCTGGGGGGGCACCTATCACAGTCTAGAGCTGAAGAAGGTTCCAATCAATGCATCACGAAAATGAGCTCAAATAGGGACATCTCCCAAATAATACAGTAGCAAGGACGCTACTAGGGGCTCCTGGCATCGCTACTAGGAACAAGGAGGCTAGTAGGAACTTCAGATGAATGGCCAGCTGGACAGCCAAAAGATTCACCAGATGGCCGAGGTGATCCAAAAGACCCCCTTGGAAGGCGGGTCATTCTGTTTCAACCGAGCCAAAGAAGCCGTGGTTGGAGTCGCGATTGCTTTGCCTAGAAAGGGCAGGAAAGGGATCGACCCCTGGACATGTTGGCACATCGTTTTGGATGTTCTAAGACCCTCCAGCATCTTGCAGGGGCATTGCGGCATTTTCTGGGAACTGCAAAAGTGGTGAGGCTTCTCCACTTCCAAGAGAAGATAAGAGAAGGCTTGGAGGCCTTGGAGTTCGGACAAGTGGAGATTAAATGAGATCGCCGGATCTTTCTTGAACCTTTCAAACCCTTCGGTATCACACGGAAAAGTAGGCATCTCAGAGAAGACTTGTGAGAGTCAGACAGTCAGACAGAATTTCGCGGCGTGGAAGAGCAAAGTCGACAGGCCGAAGGAACCACCCGTGGCAGGCCCTCGTTCCCCTCGTGGCCTTCCATGACTCGGAGTGTCTGAAGCCAGTCGAGCACGAGTCGAGCAGCATCAAGGTGTGCGTTGGTTGATCAGGCGGAATGTGTTTCAGCCCGAAGATGAGATGAAGCCGTGCTGTCGAAAAAACAGAAAAGGATCGCGCAAAGCGCCGCGCCTTTGCAGAGATGTTTTGTAGATTCTTGTTTTGCCTTGCTTCGCCCCATTCATCCAGGACCGTACAGATGCACAAGAAGCGCAGGACATGGTGAATGACTAAGAAGGGCAGAAGATCAGATGATCAGAGCACCTGAAGGAAATTGGAACCCGTACCCACAGAAGTTATATTATATGAGCGGAAAGTTTATGAACGGATGACGTGCAGTGGGTTGAACGCCAATTCTGATGGGAACGGTCTTGCAACCAAAGGACTGCATGCTGAGTTTGGTAGGGGTAGAGGATGTATGTAGTATGTAGAATTTGGTGCAAGGAAGCGGTAGACATTTGGGTGTACATTTGAAATCACTTGAATACCTGTTACAATGTGATCTTACAACTCTTCAATTCTGAACTGCACCTCCCAACAATACTAAGCTGGTTGAAGGGTCGCCACAGGTTGCATGCGAAGGGTCAGTTCTCCCAATCGGGTGAGAGTTGTGGGGCCAAGCCACCTCACCCCTTCTAGGAAGGCCCGATGTGCCTCTCTAACCGGAGAAAAGGAGATTTACAGACTACATGATGCGCGTGAAGACAGCTGAACTTATGCTTTTGTGGTGTACTCAAAAGGAGATCGCGTTTGCCCACAAACCGATTTAGTTTAAAAAGACTAAATAGACATTTAATTTGAATAGACCACTCTTGTTCAAGCAAGAGTTACTAAGGACCTCAAGGGTCTCTAACGGGAGCGAGGAACGTCATTTTTGGGATGCCCTTTGCTCCTAGTAGTAAGGCCAGGAGCCCCTAGTAGTGTCCTTGCTCCTAGTAGCGATGCCCTTTGCTCCTAGTAGCTTCCTGAACCTGCTTGGTCCACTGACTGGTCCACTGGTTGCCCCCGGATGGTCCACTTCCAAGGCCAAAGATGCTGTGGACGCTGCGAACGAGGAGAAGAGCATGCAAGTGTAAGACACGGAGCATCGGCGTAGAAGTTAGATCCTTTGATTTCCTTCTTTTGTGCAACAACACCAGGAAGAGGAGCTTGGCATCCAAGAAGAAACTTTGGACCCTCTGGCTGTCTTGCACCAAGCATGGTAGGTGAATGCGAGGAATGAGCGAGGTTTTCAGCATGCTTTGTCGTTGCAAGCGAGCGGGACACCTTTTTGCATGAAGAAGGTCATCATTTGCACGTGCTCCCATATATTCTAGACTGAGACAGTAATTCGATTTTCAGTACCCTAAATCATCCTGAATCCATTAAATTAATCAATTAGCAATTTGGCAGCATGCAGGCTGACGACGAAGATTCGGCCAGCATAGGTGAGACACTGGAGGAAGCCTTGATCTTGTGTCAGTTGAAAGGATGCCGTGAGCCTTCACTCAGAAGTCCTTGCGCAAGAGACGTGCTTAATACTGTGCTCAACGAGGATCAAAGCGCACCAAGACGAACACAGACTTTGCCCAACTCCGAAGAAGAGGTGAGCTCTGACAACACAAAATCTTAGATGTTTTGTTTGCTATTTATTTCATTGTATTTCAGGCACTTTGAGTCATATTATTTACTTTCTTTTAGTACACATGTGCTATCATGCACCTTGTGCCTGGGTTCATTTTGCAGTGACATGGCAGGTAGATGATGTGGATGAGGTGCTCGACCCAGAGGCGATGGCCAAGTCCTGTGTACTACATGGCAAGCACAGCCGCGAACCATGTCAACAGGATTCGGACGAGGAAAGCTTGCAGGCAGCCCTGAGAGCTGCTGATGAAGAAGCTGCCGAGGCTGGTCTTTAGGATTCAGGACCGTGCAACATAGAATCAATCCATTCGAGGCCTTCCAGCCGGGCGTCTACGTGACGACCTGCCGATGCCTGGTCTTGAGGACCTTTGATGTCATAGAGCCTCAGATTGGTGACATCATCACGGAATTTCAGGCACGTTCACAGACGAGATGGTGAGACTTGGGGTTGGTATGTTGATATGCTGTGTAAGATATGCTAAGATGGGTCAACCAAGAAGAAACGAAAGACATTGGGTGGTTCACTTCGATTTTCCTTCAATACCCTTTGGACCTGGCGGACACTCCGAGTACACGGTCAGCTGGGACTCACCTGGCATCCTGCCAGGCTGGGAAGTTCTTCAATGCAATGAGCTTTCAGCTTGTCCCACAACAGCGCCGCCTGCCAGCGTCTCAGTGTTGCTAAGAGGCAGAATGCATTGGAATTCATCGAGCAACTTCGTGGTATTTCATTGTTTTGAGGCTGATCCCATAAAGGATCCCCAGGTGCTATCAGTGCGGTTTGATACTGCGATGCCCCAGGCGGGCCGCTTTGGCTCAACCGGCGGATGGCTGGATCGACGTCATTGACTTTGGCACCAACCAAAGCTTCGTGGAACGGGCAGAGCCCTCTGCACAGGTGCAATGTGTGCAACTGATGACGTCACCATGACGGTTGGCTGTTTTTGTCAGATACGACGTCCTGCAGATTCCTTTTGAGCCCTGAAAAAGGTCTGAGATCCAGACTGATGAAGGATCATGATGGTCTTTTTCCTTGAATACCTTGAATTCCCAGAACTTGGTTTGTGGAAAGATAGATCGTCGTAGCTTGACGTGCCAGGTGCAGTACCATCCTCGAAAACATGATGGGACAGACGATGAAAAAGAGCTTGCCCCTCTTTACACTCGCAAGGACAGCTGCTCCAAAACCAACAAAAACAAGTTTTGCAGTACGCTTGAGACTCTTACGTGACCTCACCGAGATTTCAATGTATTCCAAGTCCTTTCCTGCTGCTTGTTCCTGTGCATCTTCACACGGGGCTCATTGTGAGTATATCACTCCAAGTTGCCTTGGAACGTTACAACTGCTCACCGTTCAACGATTGTTACTCAAGGAAGATGGTCCTGGGCTTTATGTCTTGAAGAGGACTGATGCATGCATTGTGCCTCTTGTGCCTGGTGTTACACCTGGTGCGCCTGGAATTCGTAGCAAGATGACAAGTTCAAGGTGGTCTCATGATCACAGGATGGTCTTCGTGTCTCCCAGCTGTGGAAACGTGGAGCCCCATGATGCAGAGATCGTTGATGAGCTCGATGAAGGTGAGTTGAAATTTGTTCGGGTGATCTTCAGATCCCACTATGTGCATGCATTTCAGCATATGGAACACATGGTAGCATGGAACAGAGTCAAGCCTTGCAGTAGCTTTCTCCCAACAGGAACGCTCGTGAGGGTGGAGGAAGTGGCCTATCTCCGACATGAGCGTCGAGTACGCGCTCGAATCGCCTATCCAGCAGGTTGGATTACACTCTTCAGCCAGCAGACGAGAAGGTTCTTGGGCTGCAATAGGCATTTTCGCAGACTGCCGACGGCAGAAGATGGGTCAGGTCTTGGGTGTCCACATTGACCTCAGAGGCCTCTCATGATTGAACTTATGAGCTTGCAACCCTGTGGGTTTTGGATGAGAAGCTGAGGCGCTTTGCCGCGAAAGTCGACGAACAAGAGGAAGAAAATTCATTGGAGAATGAGATGAATCTATGGGAAGAGGTTTGACTCTCAGTTTAGGAACACATGCATTGCAGGATTGGAGACCAGTGTAAGCGTATGCAGTATCTAAGCGTATCCTTTGTGCTCTTGAGACCTTTTCCGCAAGAAGCTTCGGAAGCTGTAGGAGGATGCAAGAACACCAAGTCGGAGAAGCAACGCTGCTGCTGCGAGTTTGCATGAAGAGGTGTGATAATCTCGAACGTGAGTTGTGGACGTGACAGGGCACTGCTTTGACAGATGAACATTG